GCCGCACGACTATACGAGAGTTGTATTACCAGTTGAGAGGCAATTACAATTGATTTAATGATAAGTAAACAAACAAACGGAAAAAAGTGGGCATTTGGTGAGCTGCACTACAAATTAAACAGCTGTCAGAACTGATTGAGAATTATAAACGCATTAACAGAAGTAACAGTAAGTGGTTTATGAAACAGCTTTAAAATAAGAAACAAGTGTTCGTGCTGATTTGATTCATCAAATCACACATCACACATCACATCAAATACTCGCTCGATTGTTGGCGTTTGAAATATAACAGATTTTTAGAACAACCCTCGCTGGCAACCGATATCGATACCTGGAGCGCGTCAATCAGACAATTGAATTGATTTTCGAGGTTTCCGCTACGGTTTTTGGTTAGCTGCTTGAGTTGACCGCTGACTATGGGTCGACTGTTCGCCTGAACTGATATGCCCAGGCCAGAGCAGCAAACAGCCTCGGGATTTGCGAATGCTGATGATGACATCTGTGGCTGATGCTGGCCATGTTTGATTGACTGTTCGACCAACTTGGCATGCAGAGCAAGCCTCCGTCCACTTTGCCCACCAGTTGCATCAGCTTAAATATGAATGCGGGCGTGTTTCCCTTTCGGCTGAAGACGTTGCTTGCACTGCACAGTCATCCTTTTTGCTAGTTTGCCAACTCGTCGCATAAATACATAAAACGAGTCGAGTTATTCGAATATTTGTAAACGATTTGCATAAGCAAAGGCAACAATCCAACTGCCATACATTGCGAACCATTGGCAGCAGCCGTGCTCCATCCGCACACTCAGAGAAAAAACGTCTTCTTAATTTTAGTTTATTTATATATTTAGAAAACACTTGCTAGAAGACCTTACGTATTTTAAATAAGCCTATCTTTTTTATTCAGATAAAATACAACATTTTAAATAATAATTGTGTTCTCAGCTCGTAAATTTAATTTTGGCTAGATCATATGTTTGTTGCCAATTTGAGTTCAAGGCTCTTATAACTTTTTTGAGTGCATATTTAAGACAGTTTGTGCCTTTGTATTTATGCATGAGCTTACACAGTAGCAAAATAAAGCATACTATATACATTTGTGTGTATAAATGTCCGTCTATTTGAATGTTTTACGCTTTGTGTCATTGTACTTTGAGGTTGTTGCCATTGCTTGACGCAGTTATGATTACCCGCAACGCTTCGCTTCGCTTAACATATCAATGGATGCAATTGATACAACAGATATTGATACACCAGCATAAAAGATAACGATAAATAAAATATACTTACACAGGTACCGACACAAATTCTGATACAAAGATACAGATAAAGATAGAAATAGAAAAGTAGATACAACACACAAATATGCATAGATATTTGTGTTGATGTAAACACAGATTCAGATAAAAAGATATAGATAATGCAATGCATATAGATTAAAAGATACAAAAATGGAGCTATAGATACAACTATAAAGAAAGATACAGAGCCGACCCTAGCCCGGATTTTCAAGGCATACAATTCTTCACAGATATAGAAGAGAATAGATATACATTTATAAAACTATTGATATGGATTTATGCTGATAAATATTACAAATTAAAATTAGTTTGTTGGCAGAATATCTCAGATATATCTTTAAGTGTCTTATTGATAAGCAATTTACTGCACAGTCCCAACTCTTTGTCCACACCTCGCTCTGCACAGCGTGCTTTTCAATTTGAACTTCATTCGCAGCGCTCGTGCTGGCTCTGCTTTGGCATTAAATATGAAAAATCAATTTCAGATTCCCTACAACATCTAACCGCAGAATCATCGCATCGTAATCACACACAAACACACACACACACACACACACACTTACGCTTAAGGGACTTGGGGGCAACATATTGCAGTTAGCATAACCAGGGCACTTGTAGATTGCAATTGGAATGCAGCCCTCGCCACATAACAGTTGATTGTCGGTGGGCAATATGTACATACGAATGCATATGCATGAACCCCGGGCATACCAGAAGCGGGGGCACATCCTGGTGCTTGGGTCGGCACGCCCCTTCCATTTTACATGTCTCTATTAACGCTTAGAGCAGCGAGTTTTTCTCGGACATTTACATAAAATGTGTTGCCCCTTTTGCTATCCTTTACCTATAAAAGTGTTCGAAAATAGGATGGACTGACTGATTGAAGCTTAAGTTAAGTGATAAAAAAGACAAAAATGTATTAAAAATTTAATAAAAATAACTTTGGCCTAGCAAAGCCAGGTAACATATACTATTATCAAAATAAATCAATTGCATATCTGCTAATTTTCTAGCTGTTAAGGCACATGGTGTGTAGTTATTTTATTAATTCCTTAGTAATCGCTTATTCGGTTATAGCAGATGGAACATTATGGTGTAGAGTATATGCGTTTCGAGCATTTTTGACTGCAGTTAGCTTAGTTAATATTTATGCATCGTCACATTTGGTTTTCATGGTTCTGCTTGGTTTTTTGCCGTGCTGCGTGACCCTTTCGCAGCCATTTTAAATGGGTTTTATTTACGCTGTGGTAAAGTCGAAGTCAAGTGCTGAAAGTTGGCGGCAAATTAATGAAGTTTTTCTGGCATATGATTAAAACTTTGCTCTCAGCTGCATAGGTTTTTTTTAGGTTTTTTTTTTCTTTCTATTTTTTGCATGCATGCATATATGGTGGGTGGGTGGGCGTTGTTTATGGCTTATATATTCTAAAAGTTAGCCGCTGAACTTTTTCCACGTTACATTTTCATTTGCATTTCCCTCGCTGCTGTTGCCCATTACAATAATATCTTTTGGTTACATTTTGTGCGCTTTCAATTCCATTCGCCACCTTCCATGCCCTAGCATCAAGCACAGATTTGACCCAGTTATAGTGCCCAGATCACGATTCCGAACGTCGCGCCGGTTTTTCTTTCTTTTTTTTTTTGTTATATACATATATATATATTGTGTGTTTCTTTAGCATGGCCTCAAGCTCTGGGGCTTTATGTTATTTTGTTTGTTCAGTTTGCGTCTCTTTTAATTGTCTTTAGCTTTGCCTTTTGCTTCATTTTGTGAGAGGATTTTTTTTTATAGACATTTGTTTGACTTCAAAACGGCTAGATAAACAGCCAGCGGCTTAATTTATTTAAATTGTTATGTTTGTTTAAGATATATTTAAAGTCATTCAGTCAGTTGTTTGCTTCGATTTTTTCCGTGTCCATTGTCCAGCTGCAATGCTTATTTACTTGCCATTGTTGCACAAAGCGGGTGATCACTGTGGGTAAAAATAGTCGAATATTAGCCACAATAAAGGGGCTTAGTGATGCTCTCTTGCGCGTATATCTAAACTTAAATGAGTGTGGGAATTCGAAAGCTTAGTGTGCTAGATATTGAATAAATATTGTATTCGAGAGAAATTGAAAAAGTTCTCTGTATTTGTATAAAGATAATATTTAAAACTGCAGAAAAAGAGGTTCATTTGATGTTTTCCCATACTCAATAGTCCAGCTCCATGTAGATATTTCCTCTTTTACAGTGTCTCCCCCAGGCTTATACTTTTTTTTGCTTTAATTTCCCGTCAATAGTTTTTCACTTCAGTTAAGTTCGACACATAAGGCTGATGCTCATGTTGCGCTTTGACAGCTTCCCTAAGCGTTTTTCTTTTACCGTTAATTGCAATAGCATTTACAGCTAATTCAGTTAATTCGCACTTGAAAGCGGCGCAAAGGAAGAGCATTTTCCTTTTTTTTTTTTTGGTATTTTTTATTTAACTCTTTTTTGCTGGTTGCCAATGCAACTGGCAACAAATCGTGTCGCTCAGGGCCTGGGCCAGCTGAGGTGACGGCTTTTTAATTGACAGGCAACGGGCCAGGCTCTGAGAGGGCTTAGAGAGGGCTCTGCAGAAGCGTGGGAGGGCCCACAACCACGGGCGATGGGAACAAAAATAAAAGGTCAGGCCAGGCAGAGGTAGAGGTGGAGGTAGAGAAAGAAAAAACAAAAGAAAAGAGAGCGAAAAAATGTACTAAAAGGCCTTTTAGACAGCTGCGTTGCATTGGTTGCCCGGAATGGATGAAATTGTGGAGCCGCAGCAGCTGCTTTTTGCCATACAGCCCATGGATGTGGGCTTTGAGGGGGAGACGGCACAAAAACGGGAAGATTGACTTGATTAAAGATTTCACACTTGATTAAGCACTGGCAATGTTGTTGTTATTGTTGATGCTGTTTTTGCCCCACAGCTCCAATTGCAAGTTTCAAGTTCGTTGCAGCAATTGATGAACGAAATTAATTTTTTTTATTGGTTTTTTTTTTTTATTTTGGGTTTTAATTTTCGAGGTTGGCAGCTGTGCAAGTTGCTTTTTATGGTAGTCGCTTTATTGTATATTTTTTTTCCGAGGCGCCAAATAAAAACAATGGTGTAACAACGGCAATAGTTAGTTATTTGTTATACACAAAATGCACACAGTCAAGTAAAATATAAAAAGTTTGCAACAAGGATTGGCATAAAAAAAGGAAATACGAGTATTTAGCATTGACATTGGCTTTGACATGAGAATAAATTAAAAATAGCAAATTACATGGAAAACTTAATTTCATACTTGATCTGTTTGCATTGAGCTATCAGCTAAAGACTATTAGCTGTGGGTCATCAGCTGATTGACTGACTCATTGTTTGAATGATTGACTGACTGATTGATTGACCGATTATCAGTACAAGCTTTAAGCTGCAATTCTTACCAAACTTTTTGCCACACTTACTTCATATAGAATATATTTAAAACTCTCAATCTCTGTGATGGACTGATTGACTGACTGACGCACAGGACAAACCATAAAAGTTACGCAGTTACTCTCTCATACGTATTTAGATATTTAGCTATGCCTATAAAAAACAGATTAACACAAATGTTTTTAATTTTAGTTTAGCTTCAATCCATTATAATTAAATCCAATCAATTTTTACTGCAAATTGTTAATGATACTTATTTGTCGTTTGATCTTTTACAGCTGTCGCTATTCATATACCATATTAAGAGGTAAGTGTATCTAAAATACACCCCACTATTACACACTCACACATACCCCCCTTCCCCATCTCACACTTACTTGCTACATAACGAGCGCCATTCAGTTATGCTCTCCCAGGGGCTCATCGTATCAATCTTAATTTATAACAAATTTAATATGGTTGGGTTTATTTTTTATCGAATGGTTGTTGCCAACGCGTGGCAACAAAATGGGAAGCGAATTCTCCTAGGATTTAGCCAACATGACGCCTACACATATGTGTGTTCTACTGGTTTCTCCATACATGCCACATGCAAATGTGCAATGTGCTAAAGTGGGCGTGGCTGGTTTTTAGTTACAGTTAAGCTTTGCTCTCGTTTTTTCTTAAAGAGTTTTTGCTACTTTTTCAGACCTTGCAGCCGTTGAATTGTGCTTGCCCCACGCTACGTAAGGGCTCGTAAATATGCTACGGTGAAATTCGACAAAAAAAAAAACGTGTACAGCAAAACACACATAAGTGATTTTATGGCGCCCATTTAAATGGTTTTCAAATCTGCCAAACGTAAAACGTTAAAATATATGTGTGGGCCCCCACCCGCAAAGGGGGACTAAGCCATAAATTTGCAGCAAGGTTTTCCCATCTAAATGTAAGCTTTTCGTAAGAGCTCTCAAATGTATGCAACATACGTGTAGGCATCCTATGTGTGTGTGTGCCGTCTGTGTATTGTGTGTGTCCTGCGTGTGTGTGCTGTATGTGACGTGTTGTATTTGCCTTCAAATGCGCTTATCAGCAACAAGTAGATGGAAGCGTTTGCGGTGGCCCAGGAAAACCGATTGATAAGAAAACTCAAGCCGACTAACAGATGTCCTGCACATAGCTTTGCCTGTAACTTTTTCCATTCAGGAAATGAGAATTGAAATTGTCTTACTGGGCGAGATGTGCTTAATAATAACAATATCTGGAACACGATATTTATTGATGCTAGGGATATGATACCTAATGGGTGTCTTCCCGTTTCTTGCAGACATTCAAACAACAGCAATAGGCCCATTATTAGATATTCTCAATAGGTACAGGGTACAGACACGTATATGAATGGGTCTTTAAGCTATTATTATTCGGTTCTACAATAGATTTCTATGTGTTCTCGGTCTCCTCTTGCTACTATGACTAGGATTTGTGCAATTTATTAACAGTGATGATGGCATGACTAAATTCAAAACTTGGCTGGTTAGTCACAGCCCTAGTATACCCCACTTTTCGACTTCGATGCTGAGCATAAAGTTTGCTCACTTTTTTGTTTGGACTACTGTCTACGGCTTATCAACAGCTGTCGTTTTGCTTGGACTGCCTTTTGAGGGAGCGCTCCGACAGCACGCTTGATTGACTGCCCGTGTCAGCCGTTAAGGCGGGAGCGAAGGATTGTCTGCGTTTTGCGAAAAAGCACTTGAATTTGAAGCATGGCATACTTCAAGGCGTACATTCTGATTGCGCTGGCTTAGATAAATTATAACGTTAGCTGAATGACTCGCAGATACGCAGGCATTTTGTGTAAAGCAATCAAATGGTGTTGATCAAATGATTCAGCGAAAGGCGCAGTAGATAGATGAATTAAAAATGTATCTAAAGTCCATAAAGCATTTGAAATCACTGACTGACTGACGAAATGCGCTCGCCACAAGCCTTTAGGAGTGCAGGCAGCTGAGTTTTTCACAATAGTTGTCTCTTAAGACATTCGTAAAATAATTACAAGGGCTTGGAAAAAGCCTTATATGTCTGATATTTAAGAACTTATTATGTCCTTAAGGCAGCTGGGAAGCTATGGCAATTTATAAAAAATAACATTTCACAACACTTAAGCTTGCCTCATTATCTGCGTGCCAGGCATTCAATTATATTCGCCGAGCCGACGCACCGTGCGTATACGTAATGTGCGCCCCGAGAATTGCTTTGTTTGCTTAGGCTTTTGACTGCTTTCGGTGGGTTGGCAGCAAAGACGCTTGTCAATATTTACGCTACCAAAATAATGTATAAATAATTGCATGTCACTCGCGGACAAACAAACGCACATTTATTATAAATACATATATATACAAATTTATATATATATATTTTGTTGGATATACAGACATATTACTTCTCCCTTCTGAGCATTTTATTTAGGTGTTGACAGCTCTCGACACCGCAGCTAATCGGCACGCTCAACTGTCTGATTTGACATTAGCATAATGACTGGCAAGTGGGCGTGGCATAATGGTAAAATACACTCGCAATAATTACAGTTATTTACGCGGATAAGATATGGCAATATTATCGCAGGCCTACGCAGGTAAAAAATACAGGCACAACTTATGTCAAAACATGAATATATATAGAGTGCAGAATCAATACAGCACACAAGCCAACTTAATAACACTTTTTAAAACTGTCCATTCGTGTCGATGCGGGTAGGTTGGGTGTGTGAGGATGGCTCGAAATGAACAGCGATGCGATTGCAGTTGACAGTTCAACTTAAATTATGCATAAGCTGAAAATGTAAATGCAAAAAATATATAAAATAAACCCAGCAGCAATTACCAGCGATTCGTTTTATTAATTAAGTGACCAACAATTGACAGCCAGCGGCCGGAGATGGTTCGTGGTTCGTGGTCCGTGGCAATAGCCAATGAAATGACCCTCCCTTAGGCGAGCCGAACTGACACTTATTGATATTGACAAAGGTTAAGACAGGTAATTTTGCTTGTAAAAATAAAATACGGCAAGAGACTAAAGTACGCGTGTTAAGAGCCTGAACATTGTATATCCTTACTTCTTTTTTTATTTCTCTAGAGACTTTTCTAAATAATAAATCAGAAGACTTCAATACTCGTTTTTTTGGCAAAATTTATTTACTTTAGTTAGGGAAAACTGTTCGCTTCTATTCGTTTTTTTAATATTATGCCAATATTTTGCTGGCAGACGTCATAATGTGATTACATATATTTTTTTTCTTTAAATTAACATCTGGCAACTGCAAAGCAAGCAAAGTTAGCACAAATTTAAATATATATATATAATATAGTTTGTTTTGCTGCTTTAATCTTCTCAAGCTTGTAATAATTGTAATATTAGGTGTCTTTTGCAGGTTATGAAAAACAAGTAAGATGCTCGAGACGGGCAGTTTCCGACTAGGGTATACCCTCAACCTTCTTTTCACAAAACCAAATGCAGCAAAATATTTGTAAGCTAGAAGCTACATGTTTGGCTCTTAAGTCTTAGCTCTTAGCTTAACTAGAGATTTGCTTCAAAATCAGATCTTTGATATCGCTTTTATGGGCAGACACTACCCTCTGCACAAAAACAATATGCCCTTTTTATCCAGCGGGTTCAGGGTATAAAAATTAGGAGAGCTAGCAGGCTAAAAGATATTTTATGTTTAATTAAATGGAGCATAACAATCAAAATATTTTAACTTGGTAATTAAGACATATTGTTTTATGATAATATCCTTTTCAAAATCTCTAAGTTCTTAAGACGAGAATACTTGTCAGATATTCGAAAATATTATACATCAATAGTTAAATTATATTTATTTGAGAGAATTATTCGGATCCATTGAAGCTGAAATCTTAAGGCCAATCATTTTGATAGCATATTAAGCCAAGCAAACTAAACTTAACCCTGGGTAAATATGTGCTTCCTTAAAAGTTTGCTTAAGCATTCAGTCAAAACAAGCTCTTAACTCAGTTCACACACATTCCGGAGCACACACGCACACACACTATGTAGGGGTTTGTGTGTGTGTGTGGACAGCGTGTGCCGACAACAAGTCTGCAAAATTGCGAGCTTGTCTCGCTGTTTTGTTGTTGTTGCTGCTGCTGTTGGTTTTGCGGCTCATAAATCACAAAATTTTTGCGCGTGCAAAATTAATAAAAAAAAAATACAAATATAAAAAGTTCTGGAGGTGCAGTGAAGGAGAGAGAGAGAGAGAGCGTGGGGGAATAAAACTGAAATCCAACCCAAAAGCAAAGCGCAATAAAAAGTTTTTGATTTTGGATCTCTTTATTTGTGCGTGTGTGTGTGTGTGTGTGTACGCGCGTGTGTGCGTGCGGGTGAGCAAACAAAATTACAAAAGCCAGACGAACTGACGAGCAGTAGGTGGTTAGTCGACTAGTGAGGGGCACAGAGGGTGGTCGTCGTGACAGCCAGACAGCGGCGGAAACGGAAGTGCGTAATGCCATACGTGGCCACAGTCGAAGCGTTGTCGCGGCTGCTGCTGCGGTCGTTCTTAACATTTCAGTACAGCAAAAGTGCAAACAGTTTTTTGATTAATTGCAGACATGAAACGGCCAAGAACCACAAAAGCAACAGCCACAACAACAACAACAATAAGTTCGGAGCTGGTTGACTTCTTTTGTTGTTGGGGTGCCCTGAAACAAAAGCCACAGACTGGCCGCACTAAATATAAATCTAGGCAGCCATAAAAGTGCAATAAAGAAAAAGGTGCTTTACGCTTGTATTGCCTTTACACACACACACACACACACACACACAAAATTTCGTAAGCGAATAAAACAAAGGATTTTTTGACCTCACAATGAAAAGCCGACTTGATATATTCTGATAATATTTGTCAAGCTTGGACTAAACATTTAAATAAATAATGGTTTGTTTTGGGTAAATATTTGTAATCTAAACTGCAACGCGGCATCCCAATTTATTTGTAACCCTCAACCGAACCTTAAATCAAATCGAAACCCGAACCGATCCAGAGGCCTTTATATGATGCAAGGAAAATGCTTTGCCAACGATTCAATTCTCTAATTGAGGCATTTTGCTCAGATATTAGATTGCAAAGCTCGTAATTGTCAAGATATTTGGCAAGACAATTTGTTTATACGAAAAATTAATTTTCGTATCTGTCAAAAAATGTTTTTAAATGTAATAAGTAGCGCACATAAACAATTAATATTCTTTAATATTAATCTTTATTATAACAAAGGGTTAACCGCGCGCAATTTCTATTCTCTCTCGGCTCTCGTCTAGCTA